TTCAGCTCCTCAAGCCTTCTTTCAGTCAAAGTAATGAGATTAATTTGTGAAACCAACAGAAGCCTGGGTGAGATTCTTAGGGAACCAGCAAATTTTACGAGGATGGGACTGATAACATACAAAAAGAGGGGAAAAGGGTCAGTGAAAAGATCTTGATCGGTTTAAGGAGTGGTAAGTAGTCTGGGGTGGGCCAGGGGAAAGCAATGACAGCGTCTAGATGGGATTAAGAAGTATCAAATAAACTAATTAGGTAATTGAGGTGAGCTGGGGTGGGCCAGATGCCTTGGGCAGAGGCATCAGTGATCTGGGCTACTGAAATGTATGGGAAAATTCAGGGTCCAGGATCTTTCACCCCACCAATATTATTCTCGTAACTACTGTAGGTGGCCTCAGTTTCCTAATCTGTAAAGTGGGAATCAATACCACAGGTGTTACTGTACCAACTGCACCTCCTTAACTCACAGGGCTATTGCTTTAAGATTTACAAAGCACTGTATGTCTGCAATTACTATCATTCTATATGCATATGAATAAAAAAAGAAGAAAGGATCATTCCCGAACAGTAATACCCCCAAATCGGCTGCTTCCATAAATGAGCAGCTGATTCCCCAAGATGATACCATTGACCTATGCTCAGCAGGACACATGCTCTGAGTTTTTTTCTGTGTGGCAGGTGATTTGGATTCTTTCACCCTCCCTCGGTGACCAAGGACGGCAGAGAGGAACCAGGGCTGTCGAGCTCTAATAGGGAAGCCCATGGCTCAGTTTTAATCTGGGGAAACTAAGGGTACGTTAGCACCAATTTATAAAACCATCAATTAATACAAAGGAAGCAACAAAAGCTACATTAACATTTAAAAAACTACACACCTCTTTTCCATTAGATTTCTCCCCCTTAACTTCTAGCTAATGTAATCTTCCTCCACCCTCCATAACAACGGAAAACTCAAAAGTTACTGGTTTACTGGTTTAGCTCAAGTACCACCCCTGTCCCAGTGAATGGTCTTTTAGACATCCTTAGAGATAGTGCTCTCCACTGAGATTTTGTGTGTTGGTTCACTGGTTTTCAGTCAAGTCTGACTCCTTGTGACTCCTTTTAGGGTTTTCTTGGGAAAGATACTGGAGTGGTTTGCCATTTTCTTCTACAGCTCATTTGATGGATGAGGAAACTGAGGCAAAGAGAGTTAAGTGACTTGCCCAGAGTCACACAGCTAGTACTTAAAGTACACATTTGAACTCAGGTCTTCCTGACTCCAGGCCAGGTGCTGTACCTACTATGTCACCTAGCTGTGAATACTTAGTCTCAATTTTTGTTTTTATGTAGACAGTTTCCCCCTTGAGATGTAAGATCCTTAAGGAAGGGGACAATTTTGTTTTTAATCAGTGTGTCTAGCACATAGTAGGCATTTATTTGCTTCTAGAGGGACAATGCTGGATGTTTTAAAATGCTAATATGAAGGCAATTCCTTCTATTCTACTCAGAGATGTAGGTATTCAGTTTTAAAAGTAAACTCCAAAGCATATGAACATTTGGTTTACAGACAATTCATTTTATGATTACCGGTTTCACAAAACTTTAAATATACTTAAGGGTCTCATTTCAAAAGCAAAAAGTTCCAAAGCACAGAGGACCTGGGTTCAAGTTCTGCCTTATATAGACTGGTTGTATGAAAGCCACTTAACTTTCCAGTGCTATATATAGGAAACTCTCAAAGATTAGAAGTTATACCAATGACTCATAGTTCCAGACTGCTCCCTGCCACCTCAGTTTGAAAAAAAAAAAAAAAAAGAAGCAGCTTTTCATGAAATACAGCAAAACTCTAAAAGTTGAAGTTACAGTCAGGATACCATAGGGTACCCTGTGATTGATTTTTCAGTATATTCCCAGGGCATTCTTTAGTCTGTTCTGTAAACTAATCACAGTATTACAACCAAATGTGCCCATCATGAGGATGAGAAAGGGAACACACAAGTCTTCGGAGTTCAGGATGTTTGAGGTATTCTTATCCCCAGTATATCACGTCCCTATGGTTCCCAAGATAAAGAACTGGTTTTCCAATCAACAGCCATCCCCGAGGGCACAGGCCACGCACAACCATCAAGCACAGCCTCATGGGGTAGTTAGTTCCCTTTTCGTCCTAACACACAAAAAAATCCCTTACACAGCCCTGTGACCTCAAGACAGAATATTCATCAGTTCATGATTGGAGTTTGCTTACTTGAATTCAAATAATCACACTTGGGGAAAAAACCCCAAACCTAAATAACTAAGAAAAAGGAGATCAAAGCATAAGGATTTGTGATTTCATGAATGCCTTCCTCATTTCTTCTTTCACAGTCATAAAATGTTAAGGGGACCATTAGTACATAACTATCTTTGTACTTATTGTAGTCCCCAAGAAGAAGGTCCCGGGAGACTGTACTGGGAGCAGAATCTTCATGAAAGCAGAGACTGTTTCATTTTTATCTCTAGGGGTTAGTTAGCACAGCACCTTCCCTAAGGTAGGTAAGCACTTGTTTGTTGAATTGAACTGGTTTTTTTTTTTTGGTTGAACGGAAAACCAGAAGACCGGGTCCCTGCTGTCTAAGCTATTTTAAAATGGGGCACATAAGTGACATCCACCAGTATAGAAGGGGCCATCACCAGTCTTCCAGATCTATATCTGGCCACTGGACCCAAATGGCTCTGAAGGAGAAAGTGAGGTTGGTGACCTTGCATAGCCCTCCCTCACTTAAATCTAATTCACTTGCAAGTCTTGGCATCTTCAAGCTGTCATGGCCCTCTGAGAATGAAGGACAAACAACAAGCAGTACAGACGACTTGTACATGAGCCATTCTACCTCGGGCCTATATAGTGAGCACCCATGTCATGTTCACAGTACTGTAATTAATCAACCGAACAAACATTTACAAAGGTCCTACAGTTCTAAAGGGGAAAGAGAAATGAAAAAGTTGACAGTCTAGTTGAATAAAATCCCAATATATAAACACAAAAAGCATTAGTGCATAGAAGCAAACAAATTCAGAATGAGAAGTTAGAGCGTGAGCTCTGAATGTTTGTTCCCAGAATTTACCTCAGAGAAGTCACTTCACTTTTCACAAACTGCCCTACATGACTCTAAGGTCCCTTTCCAGTACTAAGTCAGTGATTCAATGACAAGGATTTTCTGGTAGTTTGCCAGGTGTCACACTGAGGATAAAATCTACCACTCTCTGGGAAGTCCATGTCAGGAAACATGGGGCATCTGGGGCAGGGACTATCATTTCTCTTTGGGTTCCCAACCTGGAGTCCAGGACCTGGCGCCCAGGAACAGAAAACGAACCTGTGACTCAGTGGGATTTGGATTCCCAGATGAGAAAACTCCTTCTAACCAACACAGGTCAGAATGTTCTCTGTAAGTTCTGGTCTAAGGGAGTTGCTTAGACTCTAAGCAAGACCCCATTTGGGGCTTAAGAAGTTTAAGAAGCACTGAAAGGGTCTCAAGTGGAAAAAGTTTAAGAAGTTCTGGCTTAGAGGACCGACTTGCCCAAAGTCACAGACAGTATGAATTTGATCACATTTACAAATCACTTTACATAGAGGTGAGGTTGGTACTATAGGTGTCATTACCCTTATTTTACAGAAGAGGAAACTGAAATTCAGAAGTTTAGTGACTTGTTTCATAGCTAGGAAGGGAGAGGGGAAGGATACGAATCTGGGTGCTCTTCATTCCAAACTCAGCACTTTATCCACTCTATTATTTCGCTTGAAGTGTCCAATGAGTGACAACTTTTTTTTTTTTTTTTGGTGGAGAGGGGCTTGAAGGAAGAGTAAGGAAGGCAAAAAAAAAAAAATGATCTTTCTGCTGGGAAAGGATATGAAGGATTTAATTTCAGAATCCTCTAGCAGCTAAGGAGTCAGCAATAAGCCAAAATATCCTTAGTCAGCCAGCCAGTCAGCATTTATTCAGCACTTAGTATGGGCCCAATGGGCAGCTAGGTTGTGTAGCGGGTACAGTGCTAGGTCTGGGGTTAGGAAGACCTGAGTTCAAATCCAACCTCAGAGGAGTACTAGCCGTGTGACCCTGGGCAAGTCACTTCACCCTGTTTGCCTCAGTCTCCTCATCGGTAAAATGAACTGGAGGCAGAAATGGCAACCACTCCAGCATCTCTGCCAAGAAAACCCAAAACTGGGTCATGAAGAGTCAGACATGACTGAAAACAACTGGACCACAACATGTGCCAATTGCTGAGGACACCAAGGAGACGAAAACAGGCACTGTCCTCCAGAATCCCCCCTGCCGACGCTCAGGCACTCACCGGGAGGTACGCCCTTCGGTGCGGCATGGTGGTTAGGAGCCGGGAGGGGCCACGAGCCCCAGCTGACTTTGTTCACCACTAACTTTGCCTTAAGAGCTAGGCTTTCTGCCTCCATGCCTCCCTGGGGGTGAGGTGGTCCCAGAATCGTCACCCACTCTTCACAGGCGACTAGGTTTTGGTCCAGGCTTTCTCGTGCCTCCCCTCCTCATCGGCACCTTCCTTGGACTTGGCCGCCCCCCAAGAGCACGGGATCTGGGGCAATCCAGGAGAAACCGAGGACCCCCCCCACCGCAGCTCGGCCATTTCCTACGTGGGCCACCCTGGGCTTGGGGCTGCCCACCGTCCAGGTTTCAGGTTCCCTCCTCGTGATCTAACGTCACCTCCCCACCCCTCTCGGGCCCCTTACGGGTGACATGGGGGGGCTGGGCAGGGAGCCCCCCAACGCGCTCCGAGCTGTGGCCCCGAGGCTGAGGCCTTCGGGCAAGGTTCAGACCCCGCGGTCTGTCACCGTGCCAGGCCGGCTCCCCCGGGCTCAGAGCAAGGGCCCTTCCTCGCCTCACCCCCACGAACACACTTCCTCTCTTTCCGGCCTCAGTTTCCCCACTTGCAAACGGTAGGGCTGGACGAGAGGACGCACTCACGGGCCCGTGGGCCCTCTCCGGCCTCGGTTTCTCGGAGGAGGCGGTTGGGGAGGCTGTACCTGTGGGGCTCGGGGCTCGCATTCCGGGGCCCGGGGCGCCTCCTCCGGCCTCGGGCTTGGCCCCGCCACTGGACGCCCGGGGGCCTCCCTCCTCGCGGGGCGCTGGGCTCTGCGCTTGCCTCGGCTCAAGGCCGGCCGCCCGTGCTCCCCCTCCGCGCTGCGGGTTCCACCGCCTCCCGGTCCGGGCTTGTCACGCGCTGCTCCTGCTCCAGCTCCAGCTCCAGCCCCGCGGCCTCCCGGATCTTGGCGCCGCCATCGCTACTGTTTGTTTTCATCCGCTTCGCTGGGCGAGGGGGGAGGGGAAGGCCCAGGAAAAGCCCGGGGGCCATCCGCAATCGCACTTTCGCTTCTGGACCCACAGCCTCCATTCGTCCTTTCGCGGCCCAGGATCCCCCTTGAACTTCCATCCGTCTTCGCCACAAGTCTCCCGTGGCCAGTGGTCAAACTTAGGACGGTGCAGAAAACGGAGAAACGAGGGTCAGGAGAAGGAAAAGGGGAACTAGGCGCTGTGTGGAATCTGTCGTGAAAAAACTAAAGACTATGGGCGCTGTTAGGAGCCGGGGAGGGGGCGGGGCAGCCTGAGCAGCGATTCTGCGCAGGAGTTGGCGTGACTTTTCTGGGGACGCCGCTCGGTCGCCCCCGGGCGGCGGGTCGTCTGCGAAGTCAGCGCAAGGCAGCGCAGGCCCAGCTTGGAGGATCTTCTGCGGAGTTGGCGTAGGCCCGGACTCGCGGTGCAGCGGACGGTTGCGCTGCGGAGTTGGCGTAGGCCGGGGCTCGCCGGGCAGCGGGGCGGTTACGCCGCGGAATTGGCGTAGGCCGGGGCTCGCGGTGCAGCGGCCGGTTGCGCCGCGGAGTTGGCATAGGCCGGCGTTCGCCGGGCACCGGGGCGGTTGCTCCGCGGGGTCGGAGCAGTCGCTGCCTTGGCCAGTCCGCGGCGCAGTTGGCGCGGCTCGGCGGACACTCTCTGGCTCGCAGGCGGAGGGAGCACCGCGGTGACTGCAGGGGCTGCCGCGGGTTGCCGCTCGGCGGGTGGCGGGCACGGAGCGCGGCACACCCCTGGGGCTGGGGGTGAGGCTGGAGCAGAGCGGGCGTGCGACTGACCGCTCTTGGGGAGGGACAAGGTGGGTGACACGCGGAGGGGGCAGGGCGGAGGAGCCTGGGGCTGGGGAGAGCCTTGAAGGCTGCGCAAGCCATCCGTGGCCCTTCACCCTCGGGGCCCTTGACAGAGGAGCAAACTGAGGTCTTGTACCATCCGGCCGTCACCCGCAGGACCAGGGAAGCCTCTCGAGGGCAGGGCCTGCTTGGGGGTTGGCAACCCGTCTAGGGTTGGATGGGCTCATCCACCTTTGGTGGGATAAGAACTGGGAGGGCCCTGCCCAACCACCTCGTTTAGCGAAGGAGAAAGCCACGCCCAGAGAGGTTCTATAGCGAGGCCGGGCCCTCCAGGGACAGTGATGGCAGAGTTGAGATTCGAACCCATGCCCTGGACCTCCCAAGCCAGTGAATGCCCTCTCCATAGTACCAGCAAACTTTTCCTTTCCCCAGGACCCAGACATTGGAATGGGCTCCTGGATCTGGGTGCTTGGTGCATCCCCCTTCCTCCCCTCGGTAAGATTACAGGCCCTTGTGGGCAGCAGCTCTCCTTTTTTTTGCCCGTCAATCTCTTAAGTATTTGTGGAATAGAATTGAGACCCAGAGAGGGCAAGCCAGAACGTTGTGAAGGGCCCGAAGCTTTCCAAGGTCACAGCACTTGACTCGGTCCCCTAAGTCCTCAGCATTGTCCACTGCATGTGCTTTGCTGATGCACCCTGAGGACCGTGGGCCCTCCATCTGGCCTTCAGCTGAGACCTCTCCACTGGCCGGCAAGTGCTTAATAAACACTTGTTTGGATAGATTGGGTGCAAAGTGTAGACCACCTTCATCTGTCTCATCTTTGTGATGGATGGAGCTGTGGGGAATCAGTGGGTAGAGTGAAGAACTTGGAATCAGGAATCTTGCCTCAGACACCCCCTAGCTGGGTGACGCTGAGCAAGTCTCTCTCTGCCTCAGTTTCCTCATCTGTAAAATGAGGATAATAAGAGCACCCACCTCTCATGGAGGTTGTGAGCATCCAATGAAGTAACATGTAAAAGCGCTATGTAAATGCTAGCTGTAATTATTATCATGAGGTGTCCTGAGAGTCAGTAAACATTTATTAAGCTCCTACTATATGCCAGGCATTGTGCTAAATTCGGGGGATGCAGAGAAAGGCAAAAGACAGTCCCTGCCCTCAAGGAGCTCAGAGTCTAAAGAGGGCAAAGAGAACACATGAAAAACTGAAAGAAGGACACTGAGGTGGTATGAGTTTCAGAGTAGATGTGATCCTTCCGGAAGACTGAGTTTCTGGAGGTAATGATGAAGTCCTGATGTGGAGCAAGGTGGCAAATATTAAGGTGTCTGTCTTGGGCTCCCTCCTTAAGTAGAGGATCTAGAAAGAGATAGCAAAGGGCAATGGCTGATGTGATCTCCCATCCCAGCCCAGTCTCTATGTCAATTTTGATTTTAGAATTGCTGATGTCAGACAATAAGCATTTATTAAGCACCAACTGTGTGACTCAGTGGATAGAGAGCTAGGCCTGGAGTCAGGAAGCCCTGAGTTCAAATTCGGCTTTCAGATTCTTACTAGCTCTGTGACCCTAGGCCAGTCACTTCCCCCATGTTTGCTTCTGTTTCCTCAATTGCAGATTGGGGATTATGACAGCACCTACCTTGCTGGGTTGTTCTCAGGATCAACTGAGGTTATGTTTGGAAAGTGTCTAGCACAGTGCCTGGCATATAGTAAGCGCTAAATCCATTCTTCTCCCATACCCCCCCCCCCCCACATGCCAGGCACTGTAATAAATACTGGGCATACAAAGAAAAATAAAAGACTCAGCCTTGGACACGTAACACTTACTAGCTGTGTGACCCTGGGCAAGTCACTTAACCCCACTGCCTAGACAAAAAACAAAAATAAAATAAAAGACTGTCCTTGTTCTCTAGAAGCTGACTGCTTAATGGACTTCTGACTCTTGCTTAGAGGTCTCAGTTTGGAGTGGCTTTGTCGTATACCACATTTTTTAGGGGGCTAGGTAGAATTCTGTGAAAATGGCTTGAAAGGACCATTTCACAGGTAAGAAAGTTGAGGCCCAGGGGTCTGGAAGGACTTGGTCATGGCCACGGGCCCACTTAGTTCTAGAACTAGGTTTCACTCCGGTGTGTTGACTCCAGTTCACCTCACTCCTCCCACCTTACTGCGTGTTGGACACAGTTTGTGATACATGTCATCACAACCATCAGATGTTTGCTCTTCTTGTGTGGGAATAACTTAATTGTTAAATGAGAGCACAACCTGAACTCCAAGTAAGTACTGAGTAAATCAGCTCATCTTGAGGAGGCTAGCCCAAGGCTAGCACATCGCCCGCCACCACAAAGACATGGCCAAGAAAGCATTCTTCAAGTTTCTGGCTTAGTTTGGTGACTTCTTTCCATTTGATCTTCACAGGCAGAAGTTGACAAACCGTTAAACTGTTTAAAAGTCGCCAGTTGAATTCGGAGTGTTCCCCATGTAGCTTCTTGCTATCCTGACGGTGCTGCTGGCCCAGTGAGGTCAGCATGGCCATACCAATAACAGTGCTGGACTGTGATCTCTTGCTTTATGGTCGCGGTCACCGAACTCTGGACCGCTTTAAGCTGGATGACGTGACTGATGAATACCTTATGGCCATGTATGGGTTTCCACGCCAGTTTATTTACTACTTGGTGAATCTGTTGGGAGCCAGCCTTTCTCGCCCCACTCAGCGGTCCAGGGCCATCAGCCCAGAAACCCAGATTCTTGCAGCACTGGGCTTTTACACATCTGGCTCCTTCCAGACCCGGATGGGAGACACCATTGGAATCAGTCAGGCCTCGATGAGCCGCTGTGTTGCCAATGTCACAGAAGCCCTGGTGGAAAGGGCCTCCCAATTCATCCGCTTCCCAGCAGACGAAACCTCCATTCAGAGTCTGAAGGATGAATTCTATGGGCTAGCGGGAATGCCAGGAGTGATTGGAGTAGTCGACTGCATCCACGTAGGGATCAAGGCTCCCAATGCTGAAGACCTCTCCTACGTGAATCGTAAGGGCCTGCACTCTTTAAACTGTCTGATGGTGTGTGACATCCGGGGGGCCCTGCTGAACGTGGAGACAAACTGGCCAGGCAGCCTCCGGGACTGGGCTGTGCTGCAGCAGTCGGCCCTGAGGAGTCAGTTTGAAGCCGGGATGCATAAAGACTGTTGGCTCCTTGGTAAGTCTGAAGGTAGGGTGAAAAGACCTGGTTTTATACTGGGATGGGCCCTTCATTCCATAGCCAGTCGCCCAGAGAAGTACCTGAAGGCCCAGCAGGGCTGCTCCACATCCCCCTCTTGTCATCTCTTTCCGAGTCTCACAGCGTGAGGTGGCTGTTCTTCCTGAGGCCAAAACGGGCCTTTGATCTCATTCCCCTCTTCACACTCCTGAATCCTCGACCTCCCTATCTACTGGTTCCTTTCACACTACTTTTAAACATGCCTAAGTCTTAGAACCACCTTCACCAGACCCTGCCACCCCTCAAATAATCATCCTTAATCTCTCCGCTCTTGCCCAACCAGTTAGAGCCCTTTTCCAGGGGCAGCGTCTTCACTGCAGATGCTTAGTTTGACTTTCCACTTGCTCCCCAGCCTCTGTCATAGGATTTTGAACTCAGGTCCTCCTGACTTCAGGGCTGGTGCTCTATCCGCTGTACCACTGAGCTGCCCCAAATTGGTATCTTTTTAAAACTATGACCTTATTTTACTATTTGCAATCCAGTTTTTCTATTGGTTTCCAAGAAATAGTATCATACTTAATTTTAAACTATAAATGCTGACATATTTAGTAGTAAGAATGTTAAATTAGGAGCATTTGTGAAGGTCCTACTATGTGTCCAGCTCTATACTAGATGGAGTTGGAAAATACAAAATAAGTCAAAGATGTGGTTTCCTTACATTTAAAAACTTGGCTGTGTGGCTTCCTACCATATTGCTTGGTAGGAAGAAAGGAACCAGTGACAAAACCCAGAGCCTCAGATGTCCACAAAGTATGGTAACGAGCAAGATGCATTGGGGATCCTGATGAACTCTGACCTATCTCTGTAATTGGCCAGGCCTAAGGAGTGAGGGCCTGTACTGTGGTGATGCTGTGTGAGTAGACAGAAGGAGATGTACAGGAGATCTTTTGGAAAGGGAGAAACATGACAGAATGGCCGCAGATTGGCTTTGTGGGATGATGAGCTCCAGTGACAAGCTGAGCATGACACTGGGACTGTAAGCCTGGGTGACTTGAGAGGAGAATGGTGCCCTGGGAGGCTGGGAAGGGAGGGCAGTTCTGTGTGTGTTGAGTTTGAGATGACTACGGGATGTGGAGTTGAAGATGTCCAGTAGGCAGGGGCAGACGAGACTGGAGGTGAGGAGAGGCCTTAGGGTTGGGTGAGTAAATTTGAGCATCCTCTAAGTGAATGCACAGGAGCTGATGAGGTCACCAAGTGAAAGAGTCTAGGAGGAGTAGAGAAGAGGGCCTAGCCAGAGCGTTGGAGGATAGCCGCCGTTAATAGTAATGGATGAAAGCTCAGACAGGGAGGAGGAGAATCAGGAGAGCCAGAGAGGAGAGAGTCTCTAGAAGAGGACCAGCAGTGGCAAAGGCTGCAGAGAAGTCCAGAAGGATGAGGCCTGAGGAAAGGCCGTTGCATTTGGCAAACAGAGTCACTGGACACTTTGTAGAGAGCAGGTGTTTTTTAAATTTTTGTTCTTAGTCTAAATTTAACAGACACCAAAAAGAAATGTTGTTTGTATATACGAAATAGAATTGAAAAGAGGGTTATACCTGAAAGTGTAGGAATGGGGCAGTGAGGGCAGCAGAAGAAAACCGGCATTCATTAAGTACCTACTATGTGACTAGCACCGGGCTGGGCATTTGACAAATAGTATCTCACTTTTTCCCCACAATTCTGTGAGGTTGGTACTATTATGATCCCCATTTACAGTTGAGGAAACTGAGGCTGGATTTAACCCACGTCTTCCCAGGATATTATAGAAAGTTTTCTGAAAAAGGCTATACTCCCAGTCCAGAGTACACCCTGAGATCTGTCGGACATGAGACAGGAGTAGCTGGGCCTGAAGGCTGAGGCTTACTATATACATGACTCCATGGAGTCTGTTTCTCCAGACTGAATGACCTAATTTCCTGCTCTGGCTTTACCTCTCCTCCAAACAGGTAAGCCTGAGTTCTTTGCTCCACCCCGGTGGGCGTGTTCCCCAAAGGTCTCAGCCCACGTTCCTTCCTGGGCGGATCATATTGGCCAATATAATCTGGCTTTTTTTCTTAATTTTTTTTCTTCAATTACATGGAAAAACAATTCTTAACATTCTTTTTTTAAGTTTTGAGTTCCAAATTCTATCCCTCCTTCCCTCCCCTCTCCCCCCCTTGAGACAGTAAGCAAGCTGATATAAATTAGACGTGTGCTATCATATAAAACATTTCCATATTAGTCATTTTGTGCAAGAAGACTCAAAACGGGAGAAAAAAAGAAAGTATGTTTTAGTCTGTGTGCAAACAACATCAGTTCTTTCTCTGGAGGCAGATGGCATTTTTCATCCTGAGTCCTTTGAGACTGTCTCGGATCATCGTATTGTTGAGGATGTCAGTCACAGCTCTTCATTGTACAATGTTGCTGTTACTGTGTACGTTGTTGTCCTGGTTCTGCTCACTTCACTTTGTATCAGTTCCTGCAAGTCTTTCCAGGTTTTTCTGAAAGTATCCTGCTTGTCATTTCTTATAGCAAAGTAGTATTCCATTAGAGTCACATACCACAACTTGTTTGGCCATTCCCCAATTGATGGGCATCCTCTCAATTTCCAATTCTCAGCCTAAATATTTTTGTACAAATAGGTTCTTTTCCCTATAATTTGGCTTTTGATTTTGATGCTTCAGAGACTCGGGAGCTATGGATGTATCCAATTTGTATCTGCCCAGGATCCTCAACTTCTTGGACAAGTGTGGTCATTTAGCTTTTGCTTGGAGATCTCTGGGGTATGGTAGATCTCATCTCTCTCCCTCTGTACCTATGGGTCTCTGCCAGAAGACTGCAACCTAATTGAGGGTAGTGACTGTTCCATTTTTGTCTTTATATGTTTGTCACTTTCCACAGTGCCAGGCACATAGTAAATGCTTAATGAATGTTTGCTGACTGATGAAGTATGAGCTATGATGATGATGATATGAATAGACTGGTACTATGCCCTCATGAAGGGTTAGTTTGTAGAATTCGGAGAAATACAGGAACACATGTATGAAGTGGTGCAGAATAAACAAAACACATAATCTACAATTAGCACAATTGTGTCAGTAAGGCAGCTTTAAAAGACCACAAAATTCATATAGAAAGGGGCAGCTAGGTGGCACAGTGGATAGAGCACTGGCCCTGGAGTCAGGAGGACCTGAGTTCAAATCTGGCCTCATACACATAACACTCACTATCTGTGTGACCCTGGGCAAGTCACTTAACTCTATTGCCTAGCCAAAAAAAAAAAAAATTAATATAGAAAACCTTGGAACTACCAAAAGCATGACTGGAACCAAGGTGTCCTGACTTGTTGTCCAGGGTTCCTTCCAGGCGCTGATGTGAATTTTCAGTTCCTCTCAACAAGCTGAAGACACGTTTGGGACTGTGTTCTAGACCTCAAATTGTTCTTTTCAAACTAAAGATTAGAAAATAATTCCAGGTGCCTGATGAATTAGGTAATTAAATAGTTATTTTACCCTCCAGCCAATGTCAGCAATTCTAAGACTGGATAAGGAACAAATAAACCATGAGAAAAAAAAGTAGCCAAGGAAAAATATTTCAAAGCTTTTCTATCTAATGCACTGTTTTTGAAATTTTTTTAGACTGAAGATCAAACTATTTGCCCATTTGCAGAACTCTGGGCACATTTTCAAGGAATGATAATACATTTATAAAATAAACTGTCAATGAAACCGTGACTTGGTCTGGTATTTAGAATTTCAGTTTGGGTATTATGGTATTAATGTTTCACAATTTGAAATATTTTAACTATTAAAAGTCATCAAGTTCTTCAAGATAGCAAATCTAAAGGAGAGGGAACTTTTCTATATCTTTTGTCTGTTTGTTATGGTGCCTAGTACGCTGCTCTGTGAGCATTCCATAGATATTCACAGAAATGGATCATGGGTAGATGTCAAGGGATCAGCGGTTGGACAAGAGGAGACTTGACAAAGGGCTCTTTATGTCAGGTTCAGGAGGTTGTGACCCTGTGTGTGGCCTTTCACCTACCAGTGAGTCATAATCATTAAATATCACTATACACTTATTACAGTGTTAGATTAGGACATTGTACTCCAATTTTTTTTTGCAGCATTCCTGGGTCATTCAATCAGGACAGTAACTTAAGACCAAATGCCCTAGTTATATTGTTCAGTTGATCTCTGCTTTAATTTTTCTAACAACTGTTTCTAGCATACCAACTTACCTTCTTCAGGCCTTGGTATTTCTGTGAACATTTCTGGTCTAGAAAAATGATATGGTTGTATTGAATAGGATCCCCTTGAAATCCTGGGTTCTGCTCTACTTTCTGCCACTTATGCTAAGACCATGCATTTCATTTTCTTTCCTATGCCTAGTTCCTCCATGATACAGCAGACAAAAGTGTGCTGGATTTGGAGTCATAGAGCACTTTGGTTGGAAGCTTGGCTTAGCTACTTCTGCCTATTTGGCCTCATTTACATTGTTTTCCCTTAGATTCTCATCTGAAAAGTGACAGGATTTGATGTGATCCCTTCTGAGGTCCTTTACACATTTACTAAATATATGATCCTTTGATCCCTGTAGTAGGTGTTTGGGAAAGGTGAATGATCTGTTGTCCACAAATCCTGCTGTATGTGATGAAAATATGTGAATGCTAGCAATGTTTCATTCATTCTCTAAAATATCAAACAGAAACTTGTGTATGTGCTAGTCTTTGACTTGGGACTAGATTTAACGTCTTAGCTTTTGCCCCCAAATATCTATGACCCCCTCCTTTATCCCTGGGGAAAATTCCAGACTCCCCAGAATAACATTCATGAGTTTCATCAGTTATACTTTAAGCCTCAAATTATTCCACGGCCAAATTAATTTGGGAAGTACTGATGTTTTCTGAATCCAATGTTTATGTTTGTTTTTAGGAATTTTCATCTTCACAAAGGTGTCTTGAGACACCTTTCTCGTGAACTCTGTGGGTAGGAGCATTGGGTTGTTAGACAGTTAGTTGGAGTGAAGAAATTTTGTTAAAGTGCAACATCTTCAGTGTCATGGAAATTTCCCGGGGTTCTTTTCCTCTGCTAGCTTTACCTTCCCATTGTCTTGAAGATGTGCGCTGTCCTGGAGGCCACCATTTTAGGGTTTTCCCCTCTTGTTTGTTACCAACCAGGCCCAGAGGTCCTGCCTCTGATGCTGGCTTTCCTTACAGTTCTCCCATTGGTCTTTTTCATGGACCATGGCCCTAGGATCTATTGCTTTTCTTCACGTGGTCTCAGAGTGGTTTCTCAGCAATTCCCTTTTTAGGTTGTACAGCACTGATAAAAAATGTTGATGTTTTCTCTTCCATATAGGTGATAGCTCCTTCTTTCTTCGAACCTGGCTGATGACTCCACTTCATATTCCGAGAACCCCTGCAGAATATCGCTATAACATGGCCCACTCTGCAACTCATAATGTAATTGAGAAGACATTTAGAACCATCCAGTCGAGATTCCGATGCCTGGACGGGTCCAAGGGAGCCTTGCAGTACTCTCCAGAAAAGTCCAGTCACATCATTTTAGCTTGCTGTGTGCTCCACAACATGTCCCTGGAACATGGGATGGATGTGTGGTCTTCTCCAGTGACTGGACATTTGGAGCAGCCAGAGGAGGAACACGAGCACATGGAGGCCCTGGACGCGGAAGCTGACCGCATGCGGCAGGAGCTGATGCTCACTCACTTTAGCTAGTCTGGAGTGGAACAGGGGGCTTGGCCAAGCCACTTCTGCCAGTGGGAGGATGCCTGTCATCCCTTTGTACTCAATGTCTGCGCTTTATGGGATCTATCTGCCAATTCAGTAACTAAATCAAGCCCACAGTTCTAGGGTTTTTGGTGAACCCCAGTTTGAAATCCACTTATTTTGAAACAAAATGGCTGGCAAAATCTCAAGTGTTTACATACACAAAGTAAAAGGGGAAACTAAAGTAATTAGCAGCTAATTCAAATCCCGATGCCACTTATGCATCAGTTATCAGGATATTTCTAATAAAAGTAAATTTTCTTGTCTTAAATTATCAATGTAGTGCTTCTGTTTCTACCTTTCATTTAGACATAACCTGAGGTCAATGTGATTTTGACCAAGAAATGGTCTGCTACAAGGTACGGATTACTGATTGAAGCTTTACCCAGACAAGAGAATCTTGCCAACTAGGATAATTACAGACTGATAGCAGCCTGGACCTTTCAACTCAAATTTTGAAGCAAGTCTCCAGATATCTGGACCTAATCTGTGTGGACCAAACCTGAATGCTTTTCTCTTGTTCTCCTACCTTCCCCATCCTTTTATGTAGAACATCAGAATAGATGGAGGAGTTTCGATCAAAGAAGCCTTTGCCATCTTATCCTTTCTTTCGAAAGAAATCTCATTAAAGCAATTTCCTTTGTAGCAGCCTCACTATTACTAATAGGGAAACAAGTTTGCCCACTTTGGGGACAGCCTGTACCTGAGTGGATCAAGGTTCTTAATGTTAAGATGGTACTGAGACAAGGCTTGCCCTTTCCCTTCTCTGGTTTCCTAATACAGAAGGCAAGAGATGAGAGATCGAAAAGGACAATTAAGGAAACTTGGTTCCTAGTGTGTGGGTTCTGGAATGCGCCTGGCCCCTCCCAATGGCAGGGGCAGGGTTAAAATCCTATTTGTGAACACCAAGTGATGCACAAATTTCCCAGGCAATAAACAATCCTCAACTAAGCCCCTGCTCTAAAATTATACTGATTTAAAAATAACCTGATTGGAATAACGAATGTGTGAATTAGGTTCACAGGTTCATGTTTTCACTCATGAAAGGAAAGGAGCCTTTCCTTAGGATTCTCTTACTCCCAGATTCTTAGCAGCCAGTCATGTGCTGTCTCTGACCTGTCCTCTTGATCTGCTCCTATCTGCTGTCAGAAGTGTTAGTCTGGTGATTGTCAAAGCAAAGAAATGAGCAGCTGATGACAGAAACGGGACATAGATGGAGGCGACTCACTAAGACAATTGGGGATTATCATCTGCTGCTGATTTCCAATTTGAATGCTATTTCCCGTCACTATGATTCCTGCTGTGCAGCTAGTGGGTATATTTGGCAGGAAGGCAGGTATGAGGTTGGGCACACTATGGAAGGGGTCATGAGGGTGGTGACGTCATTGAGGTGGGGCAAATAAATAAAAGAAGGCCGAGTTTCGGCTCTGTTCTCATTGTGCAATAGTACTGTCCTAGTTATTTTTTTTTTTTTCCTGTAAAGTTTAACCGGTGTCCCTGGCCTATTCTGGCTCTCACAAGCCACTTTCCTCAGCTCTCCTCTGTTCCCCACATCTGGGTTTGACACTTATTATGACCCCCTGCATCAAAAAAAGTTGGTACTTATTGATGCCCTGAGGGACAAAAGTGGGAGTCTGTCCTCAAAAGAACCTTTTAAAGCAAATGAAGACTTGGCTAATCAAACTCTGGATTATAACATAAAGGAGGCTTGAGTAAGTAGGAAGGAAGATCTTGGACAGATTTCAGAGGCATTTTTACTTTTAAGTAAAAAGCTCTGGGCAGTCTCTCTGGCTGTCCCCCATGCCTGGAATGCTCTCCCTCCATTCTGGCTACTGAGCTCCCAGCTTCCTTTAAATCCCAGCTATGATTCCACTTTATACAGGAAGCATTTCCCAACGCCATCTAATTCCACTGCCTTCCCTCTGTTAATTATTTCCTATTCATCCCGGATATAGCTTGCTTTGTACATATTTGTCTGTTGTCTTCCCTTTTAGACTGTAAGCTCTTTGAGGGCCAGGACTGCCCTTTGCCTCTTTTTGTATTCCTAGCACCTGACTGATTAAATGCTCAACGGATATGGAAGGGATTTAGAGACCATCCTCTCCAAACTCTTTATTTTACAGGTAAAAGTGAATTCCTAAGGAGTTCTGAGATTTACCCATAATAATAGAAAATTAGAGCTGTTGTTTGAGCCAAGGCATCTCCTCCCAGCTCCAGCATCCTTTCAATCAGTCTGTCACTCAGTGAGGCTAAGTGCTGGGGACAGCCTGATCTCAAGAAGCTGAGTTTTCTTCCTCAACAGTTTCTGGGGTATGTTTTTTCTAGCATGTAACTTTGATCTCCTTCCTTAACAGTTGACTGGGGTGTAGAGGTGCCATCTTGAGGGTTTCTCAAGAGGTACAGGCTTATGTGTCTACCAAGTTAAGAATGAGGTCAAAGGGCCCACAGAAGTTGGGGATGGGGGTGACTGGGTTGTGGGAAGTTTCCCAAAAGTGTCAGCCACAGCTAATTAACTTTGCTTCCTTCAGCAGGGAAACTCCCAGTAAAAGAACTGAAGAGTATTGAAGAGAGTCTTGAAGCCTGCAACATTTAAAGAATGCAAAAGGCTAGCCCTCCATAGACTGATCACTCAAAACCTGAAAGCAAATAAATGATCCTGGAACTAATTACACAGCTCAGAACTGTCTGAAAGATAACATGGAATTACATAACAAACCTCATGGTTTTTTTTGTTTGTTTTACTATGAACAAAAATACCAAAAGCCTTAACCTAATGAGAACATTTCAGATAAAGAGTTGGAGTAAAAGACCTCTGAGGTATCTGGCAATTATGAGATTCCAAGATTGTCTGAACATGACAGTTTACACGGTTGGGGCCAGGGTGTACATACTATTTTGCATTCTGATTTTTTTTCACCGAACGTTATTTCATGTACAAATTTCCATTAATTGTGCTAGTGACACATAGTTATTTTTATAGTATGTGTGCGTACACCCACATATAATCACACTGTTAATATATCCTAGTTTGCTTAACTCTTTTCCTCTTACTTGTCCAGCTGGTTTGTGCCATTTTTTGCATCGTTATTGTCATCCCAAGGCCCTGTGCCAGTTACTTTCTACTGCCGTATTCTCTTCCCTAATCCCCCTCCCCCCATACTGGCTCCTTGAGGACAAGTGGTATTACTTTGTTGTTAGCCTGTTACCCCTAGTGCCTAGCTCATGGGAGAATGGGTGCTTAATGTTCGTGGAATAGCATACGGGTAAGTATTCTGAATCCTAACTGGATGGAGTTGCATCCAATACCACAGAGATTATGTGTGAAAATAGAAAAAAAAAATTCCTCTGGGAGAAGCTTATGAAAGTCTCAGACCACCGTTGCATAAAAATAAACGATTCTTAACCAACCATACCTTTGATCCAAAGCATCAACTGCTTTTGTAACAATAATTTTTGTTATTCTGTCTCCTGGTGAGCTGATCTGCGTCAACATGCAAACCTTTCAGAGAGGAAGGGGGAGGCCGGCCTCTATTAAGAGCGGAGCTGGACGGGCTTTAGGACGGTCTGCGCAGCGCAAGCCCCTCGTTCAGCAGAGGACGACGGCTCAGCCCGAGGTGTCGGACACCAGCCACGTGCTCAGTGCGTCGCTGCTGGACCTAGGCCATCCCATCCTTCTGCTCGCGGGGGACGCGCCCTCCCGGTGTGGCCGGGGCTCCTCTCTGTGGCCGGGCGCTGCTCCTGGGGGCTCTGCGGAAGGGAGGCCACGTCCGCGGGTTCTTAGCGTTGGCCTCGGGTCCGGCACTTTCTCCACGCTGCCCACCCGCGCCGTATTGGTCAGTTACACTGATCCTTTTTCTTTCCTTTTTTTCATGTGGGATGGTTCTGAGGGGATGGAGGAGAACAAAAGACATTAATAAAAATCATTTTTTAGGAGTGTGCCTTCTAAGTCTTGCAGCACTCAAAGAAACGAGGAGGGCTGTGGGCTCGAGGGCTCCAAGCCCGCTTCCGCCTGGGGCTCCATCCATGGCGCCTGGGCTCTGCTGCTTGGGCCTGGACGCGCTCGGCGCTCGGCGTGTGCTGTCTGGCCGGACGCCGGGCGCTCCCGGCTCGGCGCTCGGCTGCGCGGCCTGCTCGCTCGATGTCTCCGCAGCAGCAGCAGCGGCAGCAGCAGCGGCGGCGGCGGCGACGGCGGCGGCGGCGGCGGCGGCCGGGGCCGGACGAGGGTTGAAGGCTCGGCCGCGTCCCCGCGCTCAGACCCCTTCCCCCTGCCGCGCCCCCCCCTCCCGCGCGCCTCCGCGCCCGCCCCTCCCTTCCCCCGCAGTCCGCCGGCCGGCGCGCGAGCCCAGGCCCGGCCGTCGCCGCCGCCGCCGCCGCCGCCGCCGACCGCCCTCCCCGAGGGAGGCAGGTAGGTAGGCCCCGGCCGAGGAAACTGAGGCGGGCTCGGCGGCCGGGACGGCGGGGCACCGGCAGCGGTGCCCCTGGCCCTCCCCCGCCTGGCTCTCAGTTTTCTCACTGGTAACGTCGAGGGAGGGAAGGGGAGGGGGCTGCGCGACGGTCGAGGCCCAACGCTGCCCCTTTACACTAGGGGAAACTGAGGCCTAGAGAGAGGGCGGGGCTGGCCCGAGCCGGCCCGGCGTTCCGGCGCAGCCCGGGGCCTGCAGGCTTTCGCCCCGGCCGCCCCCCACCCGCCTGCAGCCGCGTGCTCGCCCCGCCAGGGCCGCCCGCCCGCACCTCGTGCTTTCCCCCCCGTCCCGGTCACCGGGTCACCCCGGGAGTCCGGGGGCGGCAGCTCCCGTGCCTTCGAACGGGGAGGTGTCTCTTTGTGCCCCGGTGACATCGGCCAGCGACGCCCGACCCACCCCCTTCCTCACCAAGTCATCTGGCTTTCTGGAGAGGGAGGGGCAGGAAGGAGGCACCTGGGTCTCCCATTCTCCAGGCCGGCACGTCTGGTCTTGACGAGGCTCGGTCTGGTTTGTACAATGGCAATAATAACCAGGTTCCCTCGCACCGGCTTGAAGCCATGTGGTCCCGGGCCAGCCCTTTTGAACCTTGCCCTACCCCAAAGAGTTGCGAGGAAGGCTGTGTGTGTCAGTCTGAGTTACTGTTACTGATGCTTCCGCTAAAGAAGTTGGTTTTAGAGATTAGGTGGCATCTGTCACGAGCTAGTTGTGTGGCCTGAGACTCTTCTCAGTGTCATTTGTTAAAATGTGCGCTTTTGGCGTTAGATAATTTCTTGGGTCCTTTTCAGCTCTTACGATGCATGCTTCTTTA